CCCCCTCAGGGGACTCAGTGCCCATCTCAACACCCCTACTCCTGCCAGAAAGAGGCAGCTGGCACTGGGGTCCCAACACACTGAGTCACATGAGGGCCTGCAGGGCCCCTGGATCCAGACACCCCAAGTGTCTGTTTCCTCCTCTCTAAAACAGAGGTACAGGACTTCCCTGGTGGTCCACTGGTTAAGGATCTGCCTGCCAATGTAGGAGACACCGGTTCCATCCCTTTTTCTAGGAAGATTCCACATGCCACAGAGCAACTAAGCCCATGCGCCACAACTACTGAAGCCCGAGCTCTAGAGCCCACGAACCACAACAAGAGAAGCGACAGCAATGAGAAGCCTGCTCACTGCAACTAGAGAAAGCCCGCATGCAGCAGTGAAGATCCAATACAGCCGAAAATAAATAAATGAATAAAATAAAGCAGCTATTATTTTAAAAATAAATAAATAAGTAAGACAGATGCAAAAACTCCTGTTGTGAGAATCAGCAGAACAAAAGACTGCTTAGAGCATGACAGGAGCCCTTTCCACCACCCCCCGCCCCCAGGTCTGGGCCTCAGTTTCCCCATCTCTAAATGGGAAGCTTGCTCTGAGTGATTTCCCAGGCTCTCGAGCCTCTGAAACTCCTGGGAATCTTGCCTGGGTGCCCAGCCCATGCCAGTGTCCATGGGGAGACAGTCTGCAGAGGCAGAGACGAGGGCCTGCCCTCGTGGAGCTCCCTGCAAGCTAGGGAGTGACAAGTGTGGCTCTGGAGCAGAGGCTACTCAGCAGAACTGGGTGTGAAAGCGCCCACGGCCGAGCTCCCAAACGCACAGCCACACTGCCACAGTCTCCACCTCTCCCCACTGCTTCATCCCCAGCCTGTCCCACTCATTACCTGCCTGTCCCCTTTAGGCACTAGGTTTATACCCTTGCTCCAGGAGCCATGAGAAGCTTGAATATAGAAAACTCAGTATGAGGCTTGGCAGTGACCAAGGAAGGCTTCCTAGAGGAGACAGGACAAAGAGGGTCAAGTTCTCACAGCGTGCGTGCACGCTCAGTCACTTCAGTCGTGTCCGACTCTTTGCGACCCCATGGACTGTAGCCCACCAGGTTCCTCTGTCCATGAGGATTCTCCAGGCAAGGATACTGGAGTGGGTTGCCATGCCTTTTCCCAGGGGATCTTCTTGACCCAGGGATCGAACCCAGGTCTCTTGTGTCTCCTGCACTACAGGTGGAATCCTTACCGCTGAGCCACCGGAGAAGCCCAGTTCTCACAGCAGGCCTCGAATATCCAGATGCAGAATCCAGACCCTAGGAGCCACTGGAAGTTTCATACAGGTCCTCTTGGCCTGGGCAGAGATGCTGGATCCCACCCCAGGCTGGCCTCAGAGTTGTGACCCCTGCAGGGGATTCAACGGGGTGGGGGGAACCTGGGCACCTTGTGCCCACTGCCCCTCCTCCACAGCCATGGACTATGACTCCATCCCAGAGAAATCAGTCCTGGTCTGAGAAGCCCAGGGGCCTCCGAGGCCTCATTGCCATCGGTGAGTGCCGTCTGGCCAGGGAGGGCTCCCCGACAGATTAAGAGCAGTGCCAGCCCGGACTCATTCATATTCCGGTCTGGCTGCAGGCTTCAATATGGCTGAGAGACGCGAGGGCAGAGGCAGCCCTCCGAGAATGCCCGGCGATGATTCCTCTCCGATTCCAATTTATTTTCTATCATTAATGCTTTTGAAAAGCCCCACATGCTCTGCAAACAGGGAAGGAGCACGGGGCTGGGGAGGGAAGGAGAGGAGAGGGCTGGGGGCGGAGGTTGGCATGACAGAGGTGGTGTGGGCAGCAGGCTAGGGGCCCTGAGACCTAGGTTCAGATTTCCACCCCGTCTCCACCTGCCTGGAGACCCGGGGACAAACCTGGCCTCTCCCGGGCCATGGGGAACAGCCCCCTGCTCTGCCCATTTCAGGGGACACTTTCCAAGATCTCCTGAGGGGTCAGAGGTGAATAGGCTTTATACACTGTGAAGGGCTGTACACCTTGAAGAATCAAAAGCTAAGCAAGCCTGACTGACCGTGGCAACAGAGACCTATGAACTGGACCCCTGCCTCCCCACCTATACTGGGGACTCCCACCCAAGGGTCCAGGAAAGGCCTTGACTGCCTCTCACCACAGCACAAGCAGAGGCAAAAAGCACCAGGATCTGGACACCCCCACCCCTCACCCCACTCCCGTCCCCTGCCTTTTCTGTCTCAGACTCACACTCCAGCCTCCCTTCCCCCACAGGCTCACCAAGGATCATCCTCCCAACCAGCATCCCTCCTCCCCTACTACCACCCATGTGGAGCCTGGGGTGGGGGTAGGGGATCATTCCCACATGTCCTCTGCTCAGAACCTTCCAGAGGTCCCCATCACCTAAGCCCAAACTCCCCACCTCCATGCAAAGCTCTCCCAGGCAATTCAGTCCCATCTGGGCAGCCCCAAGGCCTCCCTGGCCTGACCCCACCCTCAACTCCAGCACTGACCACGCCTGGTTTTGCACATGCTATTTCCAGTCTGAAACTCCCTCCTCCTCAGCCCCAGTTCACCTGTCAAGCTCCTACCCCGTCTGCAAGATGCAGCCCAAGTTCTCCCCTGTGCAACTTTTCCTGACTCCCCTGGCCGGCCCCACTCTGTGCTTCTAAGCATGCCATATCCACCTTCCACGACTCAGTAATACGGTCATTATGTGTGTTTGGCAGCTCCCCTCCATTCCGCGAGCCCTGGTGGCCAGGGGCTGTGTCTGATCCATCCAGCGCATTCCTAGTGCTTGGCAAAGTTCCTGGCTCACAGAGACCCACTGATCCAGTCAACTGGTCTTAACAGAGCCCCTACTGGGTGTCAAACTCTGAGCTGGATGCTGGGGATGCAGCAGCAAAGTCAGAGTTGGTCCTTGTCCTCAAGCTCTTCCAGAGGATGTGCTCAGGGAATGTCTGTTGAATGAACGAACATACGACCACCTTGTAAACAGAGAAACTGAGGCTCAGAGAGGCAAAATGCCCTGCCCAAGGGTACTTTTGCCTCCCTGCCCACATCTCTTTCTACTTTGTTTCTCCCCTAGAACTTTAGCAGCAGTGAGGAGGAATTTAAAACGTAAGGTTAGAGTCAAAAAGAAAAAAAAAAAAAAGGAAGACGAGAATGTAGTGGATTTTCCCCCCTTTCTCCTTAATGTAAAGAAAATTGCTTTTGCCAACTATCACAGCTTAAAAGCAATTAGAGTTTTTGGAGGGGACTCTGGGCACGAGCAGAAGAGACAGAGTAAGCGCCCCACACAGAATTTCTCCAGCATTCGTTTTGTACCTAGCAAAACAGGGGTAGGGGGGTTGGGGGGAAGGGGATGTGTTAAAGCAGCAATTTGGAGCAGCAGAGATGGTGGAGATAAAATATTTACAGCCTTCAAGGGAGGGGCCTGGGAGGGCCAGAGACACCCACACACACACTCCTACTCCCCATTCTGGAGGCAGGTAAAGGGAGGATAAAGAACAGGAGACAAGGAAAGCCACCTCCCCACCGCTCCTGCACTGATGGACGCTTGAGACAAGGAGGGGAGAAGCCCCCAGATGCCCTGACTCTCTCACCACTCCCCCACCAGGCAGGACCGACAACCACCAACCATCCCCCAGCCATCAGAGATCCACCCCTCCAACCGTCAGTCCTGGCTCTGCTCAAGATCTGGAGACCATCACCACTCCAGGCTGGCATTTGAGGCGTGAACAGCCACGCCCCTCTCCAGACTCATCCCCAGATGCTCCCAACGGGGCACACGGCCCTGACTGTTTTCTGAGAAGCCTTGCTCGGTCCCACCTCCAGGTCTTACCCTGAGAAGGGAGTATAAGGAGTGTGCATACCTCCCCTTGGAGGGAAGTAAGGCAGGTGTGAGGGTGCAGACCCAGAGCAGATGACCGAGCCAAGGACACACAGCTCTAGGCTGCACACTAGACTTCCAGAAATGCCTCTCCCACCCCAGCCTCTTCCCCACCTCTTCCCCTTGGCCTCTTGCCTCCAAATACAGAGCAGCCACCAGCAGCATCTTCCTGAATTCTAACTTCCTCCTTCTAGTTGCAGCACAGACTCTCCTCGTGTGGCACACAAATGACACAGCCTCCACTAGAAGCAGATGTTCCTAGGTTTGAATGCCAACACCTCCACTAACTGTGTGACCTTTCCATGTCCCTCGATCTCTCTAAACCTCAGTTTTCTCATCTGTTAAATGGGAACAGTAATAGTACAAATTTCATGGGGTTGTTTTTAGGGTTAAATGAGATAATATGTGTAAAGTACCTGGCACTATGACTAGTAGGTGTGCAGTGAACTCACCTCTGCCCTACTTCATACTCACTCCTCCAGGCCTCAGGCGGCCCATGCCCATGCACACAGGCTCCCATGCCACCTTGCCATCCCCTGATAAAGGCTAAGAAGGCACACACCAGCTGGGTGCAGAGAGGGTGGGAGACACTGATGCACTTTGCACACACACAGGGGCCTGATCCCTCCACACAGAACCAGGGAGCCCTCGTTTTCTTGGCTTAGGAAGGATTCCTCCTTCCTAAGGATGGGGGAATCTTCAGTCAGAACCCTGAGAACCTGTCCAGGCAGGTGGAAGAGGTGACCAGAGGCTCAGCCTTCCCTCCATCCTGTGGCTACGGCCCAGCCTTCAGACATCCTCACAGTCCTGCCTGACCCAGGGCCCAGAGAACAACAGCTAGTGGCAAAGCCCAGAGCAGAAACCAGGACTCAAAGACAGTGAGATCCAGCCAAGCTAGGTAGTTTTGGTCTCAAATCCCAGACCCACCACTGACCAGCCAAGTGACCTCCCAGAGCCTCAGTTTCCTCATCTGTAAAATGGTGCCCATAATGGCCACTTTGCTGCGGTGAACACTAAGCTCTTCCAGCACCCTGCAGAGTTTCCAGCATGCAGTCAGTCAGCACGGGGACCTCTGCTGGTTCTATCCCTGCCGAGGTTCCAGCACGCAGTCAGTCAGCATGGGGACCTATGCTGGTTCTATCCCACCTGCCCCCAGACTCTAGGCACAGTGCCATTCCTACCCCCCAGCACATGGAGAGCAGAGGGAAGGCCTGCCCTATTTCCTGTGACCCTTGCCAGCCCACTGCCCACCCAGCAGGTGGTGAAGGACCAGTCAACAGATGGGCCAGTGGCCCCAGCCAATCCTCCCTACCCTTCTCACAGCAGCAGAGGGCCATTCCCTGCCTCACTTCATCCCAGAGAGGTGGTGACATGCCCCAGGTCCACAGCCCACTCAGCCACTTGGGGGAGGGTGGGTGTTCTCTCCATCCCCAACAGCAGAGAATACACAGGCTTGATGTAGGGTCTGGCCATGCACAGGGCTGTGGACGAGGAATCAGAAGGTGTTTGACCTTTGTCTCTTGCTCTCCCTCCTATCACCTTCCTCCCAGGTCACTCTCCTGCTCACTGCTCCTACTTCTGTCCTCAAGAAATAAGACCAACAGTAAGTTTGGCACAAACCAGGGCTCTCCTCATTGTGGGGGCAGAGATGGGAGCACAGGAAGCCTGTCTCAGCCCTGGACGGCTGAGCCTCAGGACACCTGAGCCTCAGGACACCCTGCTGAAGCCTCCTCCCCAACCTGCATACCCACGCTCCCCACTGGTAAATAACGAGGTGTGTGTGCGTGTGTGTGTGTGTGCACGCATGCATGTGCATGTACAGAAGGTAGGGCAGGTCCTAAGAACCTGGGGCTGACCCCAGGATGACTGACAGCCCTTCCCCAGCTGGGCCCACCTCTGCCCCTTTGAACCAGAGAGAGCACTGATCTCTGAAACACAAGCCCATAAGGCCCAGCAGCAGGGGATTCTGGGACTGAGAAACCAGATTCCTGACTTTTTGCCAAGGCTCCAACAATGCTTTTCTTTTTTTTAACATTTATTTTTATACATATTTATTTATTTGATAGCATCAGGTTTGAGTTGCGGCATGCAGAATCTTCTATCTTCATTGCAGCATGCAAGATCTTTAGTTGCAGTGTGTAGGATCTAGTTCCCTGACCAGAGATTAAACTCGGGCCCCCTGCATTGGGAGCTCCGAGTCTCAGCCACTGGACCACTGCAAGTACAAAAGCATTGTATTTGCAATGCTTTTCGATGTGACACTTGAGATGGGGTTGGCCACTCCCTGTGCCTCAGTCTCCCTATCTAAGCCTAAAAGAATGAGATCATCTCCGAGGCTGCCATCTAGTTCCAATGTTCTCCAGTTCCATATCTGTGACCCCTGTGACCCTCACAGAATCAAGAGGTGCTCACAAGTCACCAAGGGCGCTAAGGGCAGAAAAAGCATGTGTGGGTGCCAGAGGGCAGGATCACCCTGACCCCAAGGAGACAAAGAAGCCCAGGGAGACCTGCACGTGCCCTAGGCTGGCAGAGGACACCGGTCCTCCCTCCCCAAGGGAAAAACTGGGCCCAGGCGGGAGAGTGGAGACAGCTCATCCATGGGGCTAGAGGCAGCCAAAGCCCTCCCTCCTTTCTGCACCTGCCCCAGCTCACCCCTCCGTGCCTGGCTTCTCATCTCTGTTCTGAGGCTACCAAAGACTCAGCCCAGCCTAGATCTCAGGCACAGCCCCCCACCTCCCCCACACACACCCTCAGTTCCCCCAAAGCCCCTGGCTAACCAGGCTAGGCTCCTACGCACTGCCCCCAAACTCCAGGCAGCCCTCCTCTTGCCGTCCCTCCTGCCATCCAAAGTGGCTGGTGCGGGCAGCCCTATGCCTTGTGCCAGCAGAGGCTCCCTTGGCCCTGCATGGCCAGAGCCTGATAACAGTCTCCTAAATTAAACAATAAACAAGAAGTTGTTTTAGATTTTCCTGACGCTGCAGTTCCTGATTAATCCCCGAAGCAAACAAAAGGAAAAGAGACCCGGCTATCCTAAAAGAGACTCACTTTCTGTTTCCAGGCGGAACCTCCAGCCTGAGCCAGAGGAACCACCCTAGAGCATCCTACCCCAGCCCCCTGCCCAGCTCCAGGCCGCTTCCCGCCTCCCCTCGCCCCACAATCCCAGGCTGGCACCTGTCGACAGCCTCCTAGAGCCCACTGCTCCTCCTCTCCCCCTCGGGCTGTGTGACTGTGGACAGGCCAGCTTGTCTTTCAGGCCCCAGTCTCCGCATCTTTCAAGCATCCTCACCTCTCAAGGATAAAATGAATTATGTGACCACTTGAGGTGAGACAAGCATTTTCTTATATTTTTTGGAGATGGATGCTGAAATATTTAGGGGTGAAATGTCATGATGTCTATAATTTACTCTAAACTACTCCAGAAAGAAAAAGATAAAGCAAAATGTGGTAAAATGTCAACAACTGTTAAATCTAGGTGAGTGGGTATATGGGAGTTTGCTATACTACTCCCTCTATCTTTCTGTACCTTTGAAAATGTTCCTAACAAAAAGTAAAAAAACAAAAAACAACGCATTGGTCACATGAGCCAGAACCCCACAAATAATGCCTCCTGCTCCTGGCAGGCCTGAAAGGCAGCTGGGTCTCTTAAGTAGGTTAAACATGCCCCCTGCCATCTCCTTTATGTGGTTTCCCTAGAAATCGCTTTTGCACAAATTCCACTGAGTCCTAGCTCCACATTTAGAAGCCTGAGCACATTCAGAAGCCAGACACAGCACTTTAGTGAAGCAACTGTTTTCTTCTGACCAACCACCTTCCTCCCACCCACTTCCTCCCTGTCCTTCTGCAAAATGACCCTGGATTAGAGTTCTTTTTTTTTAATATTCATTTTTACTTATTCATTTGGCTGCTCCGGGTCTTAGTTGCAGCATGTGGGATCTAGTTCCCTGACCTGGGATTGAACCCCAGGCCTTCTGCATTGGGAGCTCAGAGTCTTAACCACTGGACCACCAGGGAAGCCCCTGGATTAGAAATCTTGATGCTGGCTCCATCCTCATATGGCCACTACCCTCTCTGAGCCTCAGGTTGCTGCTCCCCTGCCCCACTCCCATTAACCAGAAATAATGACAAGTCAGGGACTGCTGGGGCGTCTCATTCAAAGGCACAGTGTTACCCCCACAGAGACTGAAATTCCCACTTAGCTGATGGGAAAGCTGAGACCCAGGCCAGGAGAGACTGGAAGCAGAACACAGGTGGGAACAAAGGGAGGTGAGAGTGAGCAAAGCTCCCCCTCACCCCCTCCCTATCTCTCTACCCCAACCCTGGCAGTGCGAATCTAAGTGAGGATCACCAGCACCTCCCTTTCTCTTGTTCCTATTTACGAGCATCCTGGTCAGGAATAAATGACCATGATCGTAATCTCCCAGCCAGGCCCAGCTGACCCACACCAACGTTGGCCAGGCTCGCCTCCGCCGATCGATAATGGAAGAGTTATCAGTACCCCAAATAATCAATTGCTAATTGCTGGATGCCATGCAATTCATCGGGGAGAGTTATGTGTGGCCAGTGACTGGGCATCCCGGCCCTGGCCTAGTGGAGCCTCCCAGGGGAGAGAAGGCCTCATCCGTAATGAGTACCTCAGCAGAAAAGCCGCCAGTAACTCGGAGCTTCTCAAACAGGTGTCCTGGACCCAGCCAGAATCTCCAGACCCAAAGAGGAGGAGGAAGAGGCAGTGGCCACAGAGCCTCTGAAGGATGGGCCACATGCCCTGGTCAGCCCATCTGGTCCCAGGCCCCTGGATCTGACAGGTACACAGGATGAATAAGCCCAGTCCTTGCCACCAAGGCATTCCCAGGCCATGAGGAGAGACCAACTGCCAGATATCGCAGGCCTTGCACACAGTAGGCCTCACATACAGTAGGTGGACAGCAAGTGTTTGCAAAACGTAAAGCAGATACACTGCTCTGAGTTCTGAGGAAGGAGAAGCTGCTCCCAGCTAGGGGGACCAGGAGGGGCTTCTAAACACAGCATTTGGGCTGAGTGTTGAAAAGCGGGTGGGATCTATGGGCAGAGATGGAGGAAGGACTCAGGCAGAGGGGTCAGCAGAGCGAACCCCTGCAGGAAGGAAAGCCACAGCGCGTGAGAAAGGGAGAGTGAGTGACATTGGGCTGGAGCCTAACTGCACAGAGGACTATGGAAGGAGACGGCTGGGTGCGAGGAGAATAGGACTCTGCAAAACACTGAGGGGTCCAGACACCAGTCTGAGTGAACAGGGAGCCCTTGGAGGATGCTGAGTGGGAGCGTGACAACAAGCATGTGTTTGGAAGGACCGTTAAATGCCACGGAGTCCACAGTTCCTGCCAGGTTCCAGCCCACGAGGGCGGAGGCTAGTCTTACTCATCTCTGTCCCCAGAGCAGCCAGCACAGCCGGTCCCAGAGGAAGCACCCAACAAGAGAACTGCTGAGCGATCACAGGACCCGCAGATGTAGGACGGGGGACGCCTGGACTCGCAGCTGTGGAAAATGATGTTTGTATCAAAACATGTATTTACAGTAGAGGTCCAAACACAGCCTTGGAGGCAGGCAGGGAGGGGATTATCTTCCACTTACAAAGAGGGACGCTGAGGCTCAAAGAGGGACACATAATGACCTGGCCACGGTCACCCAGCTGGGGGAGCCCAGTGCTCTCCCCAGAAGAGAGCTCCGAAGGCTGAGCCCTGGTTGCCTGGGAAGGGTCTAAGGGTGCTCAAGAGGTAAAGGCTCCCCCTGCCACGCTCCCTGACACACACACACACACCCCCATCCCCTGCCGCTACCCCATGTTGGACAGACATTTCATTGGAGAAATGCCCCAATCACTGCCTCACTGAGCATCCCCCACAGTAACCCCAGCTGGGATTGACTGTCTGTCACCAGGGCAGCCTGTCCCTGCACCTGTATCAGAAACAGGGCTAGGCAGAGACTCTCTAGAATTCCCAAGCTTGTTGGGGATTCTAGACAGACTTTGTGGAAGACAGACCCACTTCTCCCCAGGCTCCACTTCCCTGAAGTTTGGGATCCATATCAAGGCAGCGAGAGTCCTGGACCAGGAGTCCAAAGACAGGGTCAAGGCCAACTCTCTGTGAACCAGACTCTGGAGAATCACTTGCAGGTTTCTTCATCTGTGAAATGGGACGGTGCTCTCTGCCTACTTTACAGCATGCCATGGAGACTAAATGAGGGGTGAAACATAAAAACTTACTTATAAAATTATAAATTGGGCTTCTTAGGTGGTATTAGTGGTAAAGAACCTGCTTGTCAATGTAGGATATGGGTTTGATCCCTGGGTCAAGAAGATCCTCTGAAATGGCAACCCACTCCAGTATTCTTGCC